TTCTATTCATTTCTTTCTTTCTTTCCATGATCTCTCGCGATGATCCATCGAGGTTGATCTCACACCCCTTGAACGCACGATCCTCTCGCGATCTCGCCACTTCCGGTCCCCCACCACAACAAACACCTCTCCTTCGTTCCGTAAGTATAATAATAAATATTTTACAGTAGTTTTTAACTCTTATTTTTTTTTTTTCTTTTTTTTTTTTTCCCCCTCTTCCTTCCCTCGCACGCGTGAATATCTTTCACGCGAAAAGGGATTAAAAGCGACACGAGGGGCTCGAGAGAGAGACTCTAAATCGTTTTTATGGCACTCGTTTAAAATGGCTCGGCTCTCAAGCAGCTTATCCACGATCCTCCGCGCTTTATCCTCGCTTTTTTAGCCTTCGCGTAATTTTTCACGCGAGTTTACGAGCGGATACTAGTAGTACGAACACTACCACTATTATCCCCAGAGATTCGAATCTTTCCTCGAAAGATCGAAAAAGATCGAAACCGGACGTCGCGAGAATATCTTCCTTCCTTGGATTTCTTTTGCTCGATCGCGAGAGGAGGACGGGGACCGATGTATGACTAATCGACTTCGTTGACACGCGCAACCTTGCTAGTGGAATGATATACTAGAGACTAATAGGGGAAGATTAGGATTGAGTTTTTGGGAAACCTCATCCCGGACCCACCAGAGACCCGCTCTTGTGTCTTTAATCTTCTCGAAAGATTATAATAATAATAATAATAATAATAGTAATAATAATAATAATAGTAGTAGTAATAATAGTAATAGTAATAGTAATAGTAATAATAATAATAATAATAATAAAATTCAAACGAAAGAACGAAAGAAAGAAAAAAAAAAAAAAAACGTAATAGTCGACAAATTTTTCTCGTGACAAATATATTTTCGAATTTCGGAAACGTCATCGTTGAAATAAAAGCAAGCGGATCTCCAAAATGGCGGACGAAATTAGTTCTCGTCCCTTCGTGGTGCTCGATTCACGAAACGCTGGAAAAGTGTCTAAAAAAAAAAACGAAGGATTCTCCAAGTCAGTCGCAGAATATCAACTCCTTCAACCGCGTGTACAAGCCTCTAAAAAAATTTCTATTATCGATCTATATATTCTTCGAATCGAAGTGATCATTCTTTCATTATATTGTCGGATAAAAAAGACGAAAGGATAATTCTTGGCGACTGGATGTTCGTTTCTCGTGTACTTTGACGCGCTTATTTAAGGCACTAACTTCCTACGATCGTGTTCACATCGTTCCTTCCTGTGCATGTCTTTTCGTATTATTATTTTTTTCCTTTTTCTTTTTTCTTTTTTTTCTTTTTTTTTTTTTTCCCTTTTTACTTTCTCGTACAGCTCAGTGTTTTGAAAAAGAATTTGCGTAAACGGTCGGTCTTTGCTAAGGCACGGTCCTACAAGTTCGGGGAAAACTCTAAAGGCACCCTAGCGCGTCACCCTTACACTCGCACACTTACACAACGTCCCAACGGGATTATGCATGTTCTAACAGCTACGTGTGATCAATAGTACTCGAAAAAATACATTTTTGTGATTATTTATTCTTCAGGTTCGTCGTGTTACTCGTCGTCGATCGTCCTCTTCTTCTTCTTCTTTCTCCTCTTCTTCTTCCTTTTCTTCTTCTTCTTCTTCTTTTTCTTTTTTTTCTCTCACAGGGGAAATTTCATCAACGATACGATCGTAATCGTACTTGGCTCAAGGATATTCCGATTCTCAATTTGAAACTGGAAGAATTTAACTGCGATATTTATACGAGATTCGTAAGAGAGCTAAACAAAATTTTTAAAGCCCGATAGAGCTAAATCTCGATAAATATGATTAAAGGAAAAAAGTTTATTTAGGGATACTATTGAAAAGATTTACAATACAGAATTAATAATCGTAGAATCGTTGTTGAATATCCCCTGAGAACAGGAACGCGAGAATTTCCATTTTCATTTTCACGTATAAAACGTACTACACACTCGTCCATCTTTTATTTCGAGTTGCTCTCGCAATTTACAGTATATACGCGTACATACTTCTCTTTCGAATCTTCATGACGATCTCGTGTATATACATATTTATATATACACACAAGATATACATGCTCCTTACTTTTCGACAAAATATATCCGCAACAAATAATATTTTGTTTCCTGCGAGCAACGGTTGCCTCGAAAACGAACGAATCACCGAATCATCCTTGATCTCTAATGTTCGCTATATGTCTCGTCTTGGCTGGCAGTCTTTTTGTTAACTCTCAGTTAATTTTCTTGCAGTTCTTTTTTTTTTTTTTTCGTGTTTTCTTCTTTTTAACTTTTTTTTTTTATCAATACTGTTCGTAATACGATTAATGATGTAAAAATACGCGTACCCTCCTAGTCGCGGCGTGAAAGCGTATAAATCTTTAGTACGATTCGTTACCGTTCGTTTTATTTCGTCGGTTCGGAGTTCCTTTCAGTGGAAAAAACAAAAAAAAAAAAGAAAAAAGAAAAAAAGTGGGAACTTAAGAAATAATAACAGCTGTAGATGGGGAAGAGGAGAAAAGAAAGAAAGGAAGAAAGGAGGGAGAAAGGGGAAAAAAAACTGCGGACAATCAGTAGAAAAATCATTGCACCATTGATGGGAGGATGTTGAAAACGGAGAATTCATTTCTTCAACGATGTTCATCGATGGTGCGATGGACTAGACGTAATAGTATCTCTGTCTTTTTAACTCGCGTCTGCTTGCCGACGGTTGATCATACAGAATCAGTTGAACTCGTTATAAATAATCCGATTCCTCTTCGAAGACGTTTCATCGATCGAATATTTCATTCTTTCTCGGTTCTTCGCATATATTAACTATATATATATGTATATATATGTATATATATTCTAGGAGAGTTGTCGCGACGATTTTACTTTGCACCACGCGGAGGGTACACGAGTGTTACTAGAAAAAAAAGGGGGGGAGGAAAAAAAAAACGAAAAAACGAAATGTACAAGGTCTTTTTCTATTAAATATTATAGTTTGTCTTTTATCCTCGCGATCTAAAGCTATACGATAGACTCGTCATTCTTGTTATTGTCTACGGGTTCTATGCCAGGTTCTCTCTCTCTCTCTCTCTCTCTCTC